GACGACGACGAGGAGGAGGAGGGGGAGGAGGATCTGTAGCTATTGATGCTGTTGCTGCTCCTATAGGGATTGCGGATCGRCGCCATAGTCGCATTCGGCGTGTACGAAAACCCTTCCATGGTATTGGTTCTCCCTCGACAACAATTGTTTTGCTATTGAAAGRCACCCGGCAGGTCGGACCGATGGAGGCGGCGATCGGGGCAAGATGGGTTGCTGGGCTGTGTGAGTCTCGTGCTCGATGCCGCAACGTACCAYGCCGTGTGGTACGGAAAGTGCAATACGGTATCGTACTCGATTTGCCGTATTGGGTCGTCGCGGCAGAGGTCTTGGTTCGTGCTTTCTGCTTTCGAGGTTTTCTTGAGAAAGCCCCCCCCGTGCGTGATGGGCAACCGACAAAAACAATGGTGGAAAGAGGTCTGCCGGCGCTTCCCACAACCGTCAACTGCCTCTGCGACGTACTARTTAAAGTACTACCGTACACTACAACTGTTTTCCAGTCGTTAATTTTTAGTGGAGTACTGTAATCGGTGTTCGTACCGGTACAAGTACTCGTGCGCAAGATACCGTTCGTCCAGCAGAAATTCAAGTGGCATGCATGCCGTTAGCAGTTTCTCACTGCTCTTCTCCCCCTTTCAATCCCCCAAACCATGGTTCAGTGTTCCAAACTGCATCCAACATCCAACCTCCTGAATGAAGAACCGAGAACGAGATACAAGTACGAGTAGCAAAGGTATCCTACGTACGGTACCATCCGTACGAAGTGCCCTAGCAGTTTGGTATTGTACGAACTACGAGCCGTGCGACACATCTTCAAAAACCACCTCCAGTTCGCTTTCCGGTGATGGGTAGTGGTACGGTACTCGTACTCGTAGTCGTACATACCGCTACAATCCTTTTTCGGGGGAAGTGTTACTGTTGCTGTTACAGGAACAACAATACGGTACTTGTACCAACACCCCTTCTGTTCCACCATTGCATCTCGGCATCGCTGTCGGAGAGGTTTGCCCGGGYGCGGCTTCGAAGCAAAATGGGAAAGCCGACCATCTACCAGACCTTTCGGCAAGTCGTCGGCCGAGCCTTTCGAGAAACCGGCCAGGCCCTGGACAGGGCCGGCGTCAAGGGCCACCAGATGGCCGTTACGACGCGGGTGATCGGAGACGATCCCGTGATCTACCAGGACCACTTGTCCCGGCACCGGCAGCAGATGCCTCTCCTGAGGAGGGGCAAGCCCGTGGTCTCGCCGGACGTCGCCTTTCTGGCCCCCTGCGCGACCCTCATCGGAACCGTCCACGTCGGTGCCGGGTCGTCCGTCTTTTACAAATCGATTCTCCGGGCCGACAATTGCGACAACGCGGAAGCCTTTCGGGAGAACCGCGCCGCGATCGAGGCCGCATCCGCATCCGGCCGCAGCCCCCCGGCCCCCGCTGCCGCGAGCGGGGTGGTGCAAGCGGACGACAACGACGACGCCGGCGGGGAGCACCGGGACACGGGGCAGCGCCACCCGGGCGAGTGGGACCTCGATCCCCAGCGCGCCGCGCGCACGAACTCCACGGCGACGGGCGGCGGCATATTCATCGGCGAGGACACGAACGTCCAGGACGGGTGCATCATCGACGCGGCCAGGGACCACACCCGCATCGGAAACGGCGTGACGATCGGCCACCTCGCGTCGATCCACTCCGCCACCGTCCGCGACCACTGCCTCATCGGGATGGGATCCCTGCTGCAGGAGGGCGTGGTGGTGGAAGAGGAGTCCTTTGTCGCCGCCGGGGCGAACGTCCCGAGGGACACGGTGGTGGGACCCGGCGAGCTGTGGGTCGGGAACCCCGCCCGCAAGCTGCGGGACCTGACGCCGGAGGAACGAGAGCGGTTGCACTACCAGGCGGATGCGGTGCGTGCGGGTTGCGTGTCGCTGCGCAGTTTGTCGTTGCGTTGTGTTGCGTTGTGTAGCGGCGTGGGTTTGCGTGTGAGAGAGAGAGATCGACCACGAGCCCGCGTTCGGGAATGAATGAATACTGTATTCGCGTTCTCACAAGTTTTTTGCATTGGCCTTCTCCTTGTGTTTCTCTTTGCGCGTCTGTGGTTTGAAACGTTTCAGTACGTCGAAGTGGCTTCTGCCCTGAAAGACAATATGTTATTGGGAGGAAACTTGCCCGATTCGTTGTCACAGTACATGTATCACGGTCACGACGGAGAATACGACGACGACGAAGAGGACTCTGGTTATGAGGAGGACTACGAAGACTTGGACGACAAAGAGGAAGCAGAGCAACAGCGAGACAAAGTCGAGGATCGCCATAGAAAAAGCATATAGGAGGGTGAGAAATCAAGGTCGACGAACAATGCAAAGAGTTGATACTCTATTTGCGAAAAGATGGTGAAAGCCAATCCGGAATCTAGGAGCATGGAAGCGCCATTGCACAGTTTACAGCACACCATGATATACCAGTAGTATAAGCATCCTCTCGTAATTTCTAGGATTCCGAATTTGAATTGCATGCATTGGTAACAACTCCATTTCGTGCAAGAAAAACCCAGGTCTAGTAGAAAGTAAGTCTATTCCGATATCAGAAGAGTAGTATTGAAGCCAATGGTAACACCCATTCCTACAAGAGGAAAAGTTTGACATTACTTGTGATACTAGTTGTATTGTAGATGCAAGCATCTTTGATGTTAGTTAAGTCACGACGTATGGTTCGTGGTTGAGGGCATCTTCCCAAGTTAATGATGCGGGCAACGATTTGATACTCTAACTACCTGAAGATAACAACATTTTAATACCTCTTAACGTACGTATTGTACATACATTAGGTACTGTAATGAAGAACTCCAAATGAGTCGCATGTCAAGAATGAGTCATGAATCAGTTACGCGGAAGATTTTCGCATTTTTCTCAACTAACAAAAATACTGCAAGTTTTTGTCAACTCTCAACTTTCACAATGGTCGATTTTCYCCAAATCGACGACAACCATGCCTTTGTACCAAGATTACTACGATCTRTCGTCAGATGACAACGACGACGACGATAGTTTCAGCAGTTCATCGTCGTCTTCGTCGAAAGAAGAAGGAAACAACGACGACAAGAATGACAACAGCGAYGAGCTCTGGGGTCGATCSGTTTTGCACATCGACGTCGACTGTTTTTATGTCCAGTGCGAGGAGCTGGATCGAGGATTGCGGGAGGGCGATGGCGATCAACTGGGACGRCCGCTGGCGATCGGGCAGAAACACATCGTGGTTACGTGCAATTACGCGGCTCGTGCGCGCGGTGTGACGAAACTCATGTCAAAAACAAGCGCCATGCAGGTCTGCCCSGACCTTCGGATCGTCGATGGGAGCGATCTCCGGCGGTACCGRWCCCACTCTCGAACGATCTACAAGGCCTTTCGAGGAGCGATCCAKGAAGAGATCGGTGCTTCTGTTCACGGAAAGSTTGCAGACGGMTGTGTCGAACAACTCTTGCCTTGCAAACGGAATGCCATGGATGAAATGGTGGCGGATCTGTCCACTGCGGTCGACAAACTGGTCGCAGTCGAATCGGAGGAAGGGAATGCTGCAATGCTGGCCACGATAGCTATACCASAAGAAAAGAAAAGCCGAAAAMGAAGCTATCACGACAGCGAACTTCCAAGACAACTACCACCAGTTTTCAAAACATATGTATTTGGTGATGATTCTGGGTCGTCGGCTGCTCGTATCGTCGAAGATCAGACGGGAGCTAGCACCGACATTGTCTTCGGTGGTAGAGACTCCCAGAACAACCAAGGTTCTGCTAGCAGATCGTTAGCACCCTCTCGACGCAAYGTTCATGAAGATTGTAACAACGGTCAAATGAACTCGGAAAGGAAACTTCTTGGTCGACACCGACGGAAAGCTCTGTGTCRAAAGCGATTGGAAATTGCGATTCGCCTGGCCCAGYGCATATGCCAAAAAATCTTTCATCGAACTGGGTTCCATGTATCGGCTGGGATATCGGTATCACCAATGCTGGCAAAATTGTCAGTTATAGAGAAACCGAAAACGGTGAATCTGCTGTTGCCGTGGCGTTCTCCTGATCTATTGTACTTCATGCCACTGCGGAAAATGCACGAGATGGGATCTCGAACCCACCGAGCTCTGTCGGAGGTAGCATTTTCGGCCGTGCCGAGCAAGAAATCAAACGGCACCGCAAACATTTTGGTGCGAAACCTCTTGGAGATACCGAGAGAGAAAATAGTTGAGTCGTTATTGATGATGRCGCAGCGGGGAGAAGATGGCAATGCCAAAGGTAGCATAACCGCCGCCAACAATCGTTCCTCTTGCGAACAAAAATGCGATCTGATTTTACAACGATGTCGGGGCTTGGATTGTACCATGGTAGAGGACGATGGGGGAGGCGCCCCCCGAACCGTTTCGGTCGAAAACTCGTTTCGCAGGGGGACGATGACGACGGMAGTGGACGTCCAAGAAGCACTGAACGAGTTATGCCGAAGATTGCCACCGCTGGTTCAAGACAGGGCCGGTTGGTCTCGGAATCCGCCCCTTGCGTATCCAACCACACTCCGTCTTACCGTGCGCACCATGTTGARCATAGACGWTTCCGAACGGCAACCGGGCCCGGCACGACGGAAACCCCGGCACATCACTAGGAGCAAACAAGCTAGTATCGGTGCACAACGAGGAAAGACGCTGTTGGTTTCGACTCTGCGTTCGACACCCGAAGCAGAGATCGAAAGAAGCGCTGCGTTTCGAACACTTCGAGACTCTGTAGACCCTCTTGTTCAAGACTTACTATTGCTCCGAGATGCGAGRATTGACGTAACGAGAATGAACCTAGCCGTCACAAGTTTTCGTGACGTGGCCACTGCAGAYCTGACTTCCCAATCACCTTATTACGAGACAAAGAAAYTCTCTGTGAACAACAACAACRCTATCCTGGACAAGCAACTCAACTCAAAGTCTTGCATCGAGACGAATGGCTCCCCATACGAGAAGAGAAAGAACCAGAACCCTACAGTAGCATCGTCGATGAAACCTTCCAAATCTTTAACCCCATGCAGAAACCCACCGAGCTTCGCCGTGCCCCGAACAAGCGCAGAACAATCAAAAAACTCTCGGAAGTTCGCACGAACCCGTATTGACCAGTTCTTTACCAGGAAATAACGCTGTTCCAGCTAAACGAATCTGTTCAAGGTTTCTACTCCTTCGGTGTTAATTTACGTCTTGTAGATTTCAAATCACTATTCAAGTAACTGTGCCTCRCATGCATYACCCTTTAATAGTAATGACGCATTGCTTTGCCTCGGGGAAGATTGTATCGGCATTCTTCTGCCACCAATTTGTAAAATAGCCCCTCCATTCCTGCATGAGACCATCGATAACATAGTTGTGGAAGACTCTGGTATATACGCCAAGGCTTCTCATATCTCTAGATCGCTCCCCGGCTAAAACTGCTGCTGGTATGGTAATGCCAATTTGATCGTCGAACACGCGACTAAATTTTGAATCTCCTATCAGTGCTCGGTTCCATTTCATCACGGCATCGCTTCGATAAAAATCGAGCGAACTCACGTGGAAGAATCCGTGCACCTGTGAGATCTTGCTTTTCTTTCTTCGAATACATTTGCCTCCCCGCGGAACAAGAGTACCATTGACCAAAGAGATGTCGCATATCACTTTATTGAAAGCTTCTTTGGTTCGTTCCGGAAATTCTTTTCCTCTCGCAGACCCCTGGGGAAAATGATCGAACAACTGTTGCAAACACGTGCGTAGCGCATGACGGTGGAAAATCAAGATCGAGGAAACCATGTGAGCATTGCAAGCAAGGAAAGCTTAAAAGAATGAGTAGATGAACTCTTGGTCGCAACCCAGTCCATCGTGGATAGCTTGTGCCGGGGGTTGAATTATCGATAACGTACCAAGGCCAAGTCGTGCCTCTCCATGGTTGCGATTGGATCCTGGTTCCAGACGCGGGTGCAAAACGTGTCGCTGTCCATCCACATCATGTACTTGTATGGGGCTAGCAACGGATGGGTCCACAACCACAGCGCACGGAATTCGGCCTGCCAGGCGTACGCGATGCGCTCACCTTTGTGATCCCAGTAAGAGGTCTTTTCTTCACACTTCGAGTACCAAGAAAGCTCCGAAGTGGAATTGACGTGGCAGCGGTCGAGCAAGTGTTTCTTCCGTTCTGGAGACATATCATCCACCATTTTGTGGAGCCCGGGGTTGTCGACCTCCACAATCAATTTTGCGGGAGAAACAATAGCGCTGAGCTCTTCGACGTCCTTAGCTTCCAACTCTTCGGTTGTAAACACAATGATGTCGCGATTTGCTCTATTGTTGTACGCGTGTGTAAACAAACACAGCATCTGCTTCAGTGCTGGTAGGTGTGGATTTCCTTGGATCTTGGTGACAACAACTCCGGGTATACTGGGATCAAAGTCCTTGGTATCTGGGCTGACAACGGGAGCTTCGAATATTGGCGGATCGTCGAACGTCCTGGAAATCTCGAGAGGATCCTCCTTTGAATCGGTTGCATTGTTGCTACCAACCACGTCATTCACATCGCCTTTAGTACCAACAGTGGAGTTTCTTTCCAAAGGAACTTTGTCCACGGGAAGTGATTGCTGCGGCATCGTTTCATCAGTTGTCTTCGCACTGCCGTTGTCGTTAGGAWTTTTTTTTCGATTTCGTTTCGAGTCGGTTCTAATTGTTGCATCGTTCGCAATAGTAGCCAATTGAATGTTGATAAATGCAATGACCATGGATAGAACAACAATGGCTAGAACTGTCATCCGCAACATCGACCCTCGTCGACGACGTATCGGAGCATTTGGTCGACCACCCTTTTCATGGACTACGTCTTGTCGATGGAAATTAGATGGCTCGGGTAGATTAGAGCGATGTGCCCCTCCCGTGTTCGAGTTATGTCGAGCAACCATTGGGTTCAGCCTCGCCATTATCTCAGTATTCCGCTGTTGCTACGAGATCCCATACCTTTCTTTGCGATGTTCGTCGAAAGGGTTTGTGGGTTAGCTGTTGGAATCAGTCAAGATGGGTCAACTGCCTTCTCAAAATAAATCTACTGTGAGAAAAAACCACTAGTACTCGTACGTACGGTAGGAGTCAGATAGGCTTGCAATCTGAGCTTGATTTTTTTCATATTATTTCATATCATCATGACTCCATAAGCCATTTGTTGTTGCTCGACATCTACTTCAGTAATAATCAAAATAGTTAAAAGAGGTGTGGTTACATTTGGTTACTACAATGTCTCTAGGTTTGCCTGCTCTCTGCTTGTTTTCTTCTTGTGGACATGATCGATATTCACCTCTTGGTGCTGCACCAGTTTTATGAGAAGAAGTGAAAGAAGTGATCACTTTTGTTGGTCTCCTTCTCCTTCACCAACAACCCCCACCTCTATCCATTCAAATTTCTTAGCGTATACATATCCAGCAAACAATCTATCAATCATGTTGATGATTTCACAATCCTGGTACCCATTTTTCAGTTTAACAGACTTAAATGTACACATGGTGGTTCCATTTGCTTTTGATTTTTCAACATGATTTTGTCATCAATCATAACAGGTCTGCTAACATACAATGTGTTAAGAATTGGATCTATCCTTTTGAAAAAGTATCAGTTCTACTACCTGCAACAATGTTTGAGGCCTTACTAATGAAAATAGTGTGATCTGACAATATCATGCCATTCATACTTCTAGTATTTGAATGTCTTGTTTTGAGAAACTTAGTAGAAAACATCCCATCATTTATCGCACACTTGTCTACATCGCTACTGTATGTTATATGCAATATCTTCTGACAGTTTCTTCTTGTTGTCCCAAGGTTTTACAATGATTCTTGAATTGATAAGAATTTGAATTTGCTCTTCCTCTTTCAATCCATTTTTTCTTAAATCATCAAGAAGCTCCCCCTGGATTATATATTTCAACCTTTAGTGGCTGGTTTGTTTTACGTTCAAGAAATGTGTTGTTTTTTCTCCCAAAGATCATAAGAATCAAAAGAAAAATGAGTCTCCTCCTCCCACTAGTTTGGGTTGATTGAAGTCATCTGCAAAGACAATTTGCAGATTGCCAGAGGGTATACAATAGCTTGTTATATATTAAGTTTAGATGCTAGTAGCTCAATGCATCCAACTCTTTGATGCTAGTAGCAAATGATATGTTGTCAACAATGAGCATGCCGCAAGTGTGATTCTCCCATGCATCCATCCTGTGTAACATTAGATAGTATGTCACAATTGAGACAGCATGCTTTATACTACTATGTAAGAATTAATATTTGTACTGACATAAAGTGAACAAGTAAAGTCATCAGTTTGTATATTTGAAGTCTTTCAGTATTGTTTTCTGCTGCGTTGATAGGAATATCCTTTCTTGACAATAGAGAGGAGTATCCTCCCATCAGTTGGGGTTAAATTGTGAATTACTTTTGATTTGCTAGTACCCTGATAGAAACAGAGGAGCTGCTCTTTATTGTTCATGGTTGCCTTGAGAGTCTTGTACTATGTAATAATTGTTGTTGCAGCAATTACTAACCTTCTCTTGGAGTCCTTCCTTTTCTTTAATCAATCAGATGAATTTACAATTTTTAAGTGTCAAAACACAAGCAGCAACAATCTACTACTACTACTACTAGCTATTCATTCTCCTGGTCCCTATCATCTTGAAAATTCAACTTTGCATACTAGTACTAGTAGTGTCTGATATTTTCCAACTAGCTCCAAGTAGTACGTGGTGATGTGAAGTTGTTGGCAACTTCCATATTATCCTCATTGCTCCCACCACCAGAATGACAGTATCYATATCCCCCACTGTTCTCATATCAGTTGACTTCACTGGCATTGGAATACTATCTTATGTTTGAGGAAGACAATGACAACCAATATTGGATTCCTGACTATTCCCACTGGAATCTTGGCCAGCTGTGTTACAAAATGGTTTACTAACATTTGCAAGTATGTTACTCCAGAAAAGTATTCCAAAAGTCTCCATCTTTCAAAACACTACTACTAGTATCACCAGACTAGAATTAGTTGGCACCATCTATTTATGTACAACTACAGTTCCCAGTATTGGATCTCAGATCTAGATCTCAATTCAGTTTCCTCCTGTTCCCTGTGATTTTAGGAGCCTCCTTGTTGTTTGCAATATGTTTGCATTTTTGTATTGTCGTGGTGCTGTTGGAGCAAAGCAATAATAAAGCTTWCCATGGTCACACTGTTCTCCAAAAGCAGTCGGGCTCCTTGCACAATGTATCTTTATCAAAGTGAGTTAGAGACTTTTTCTCTCCACCCCAAACTTGTCCAACTGAAGCTGCTCTGTCCCCTCCCTGACCCTGAAGCTTTCCTATCCAATGTCCAAAAATACATCCTTCTCCTACTACTATCAGAGTTTATGAAAAAATCTACAGGAGCATTCAAGATGCTGCTACTATTTCCACTACCAATACCAATCTGATTGCTCATCATTTCTTTCCTCTATTGACTACTAGTACAACTAATTGCAAACAGCCACTGGAGGAGAGTATCACTCATGATAACTTGGTCATTGATAGTACTTACTCCAAAAAGAGACATCAATACTTTAAAATAATTCCAGCATACCTTAGTACATCTGTCCTACCCCACTCATTGTCCATCTCTAGGAATACTATCCCTTGTCACAGCAACTACTACTAGCAGAAGCAACCTTCTCACAGCAAGAAGAGATGGTTTTGGCTGCCCTGATGTCTATGCTAGTTCACAACACTGATTATTTCAAGTTATTTTTTTAGATGAATAACATTAGCATTATGCAATGAAATYAATATTGTTTTGCTTGTCTTGGGGTTTTGCCCACTCCTTCTGCTTTGATGGTTGTGTGGCTTGTGACAGAGTTTATCAAGTCTTGGGAAAGGGATTCTCTTTCATGTGAAAATAACCAGTTTGATTTAAGAATGACCAATCATGACAATGACTCCTCATTGGTKTAATAGTTGTCCTTTTTGGCTAAATGTTATTGGCATTAGCATTGCTATGCTCCATGTTGCTGCTCCCCAACTCTTTGGAGAGGAACTTGCAGTATTTCTTGTAGTAGTAGGGTTCAAACTTATCTAACAACAAAGGYGTCAGTTTGTGCATCATGCCTATCAAGAAAGCCAAAGTTGTCAGTATATAGGTGTTGAGTTCTTTGTAATGTCCAAGTAATTGATCACAACTTGGAAGGATTTAGGTTCTCTTACATTTTGGAATGACTAATCACAAATATGACTGATGTTTTTGAGTCTTGCTAGGAGTAATTTGGTTCTCTTAAATATTGGAATAACTGATTGTCACAATATTGACTGAATGTTGAAGTTAAATATGAATAATCTGTTTGTTGTCAAGGTACTAACTTATTTTGGCTTTTGGGGTACTGAGGCATACTAGTACATGGATTATACACAAAACAAGATTCTTTTTGTTTCTTCTGCAAGTCTAGAGCAGTGAGAATTCTTCAAGGTCACTCGCTCCCGTGCACAAATGAAAAGTGGTAGTCCAGTGCACTGTTTCCAACACCAATGAATGCCTGGCTAATGTGATGATAGTCTTACTTTCCTTTAATAATTTTTTTGTGTAGTAGTACTAGTAGGAGAAGTAGCAGCAGAATTACCCAATGCTGATGAGATCCAAAGAATGTCAACACAACTTCCTTGTTGGAACAAGGCAAAACATCATCATGGTCAAATAGGGTGCTGGTCTCTATTCAAAGATGGGGAGGAGCATGTTTGACTGGTGGTGGTGGAGTGGAAGGGTTACAGTTGACTTAGTTTTTTACCACAGTTTTTTCAGATGAGGCACTAACTCTGTAATCTATACTAGTAGTGGAATGAATTGTCACAATGCAGCTGGTGTGACAAAATCACCAATCTAGATTGTTGTAATGCTACTACTTGCATTCAAACATAATAGTATTGGGGGAGATGGGCATGATACAAGTGCACTCTCATGGGAAGAAGGACGCCAGACTTTCATTTGAAGGGCATTGATTTGTAAAAGAACCAAGAGAATCCAAAACAGAGGAAAATAGTACTAGAGGAAATATTTCATTCTGTATCATGGTGGTGGATCATGAATTGTTGTTGATTCTCAACATAATTTCATATTGCTGCACCAAACGTGTAATTGAAAGGAAAAGTGTGGTAAACCCATTCCTAAATCAAATGGATAAAATAATGAGTCATGGGAAATGGTGCACTCAAACTCATCCTCTGGTGTGCCTGCAATACTACTGCTAGTACTAGTAGGAGCCTTTGGCCGTACTACTAAGAAAGAGGAGGTGAACGTTGCTTATAGATTGAGCAATTGTCTCTTCTAGTAGTGCCATTTGCTTTACCAATGGAAAGGAAATCACTCTTTTACTAGTGTCATTCTTGGCCTATTTTGCATTAGGTTTTTTGTACCAACCTTTCCCCATTGGTCCACTCCAAGGAAAAGGACACTACTGCTTAGTAGTAGTATGATGATGCAAAGAAAGGAGGAGGACAGATTCACACTCTACTAGTAGTACTAGTAGTACTACTATAGTTCCTGCTGCTAGTAGTACTAGTAGCACAAAGTAGTAGATGATACTACTACTAGTACTAGTAATATTTTTACTAGTAGTACTAATAGTCATACTACTACTAGTACTACTACCACTAGTAGTAGTAGTACTAGTACTACCAGTATACTAGTACTCCTCCTCCTGATGACGAGGAGACGATTCTCGCTCCTGTTGTCTTCTTTCTTGTTTTGTACTASTASTACTAGTATAATATTGTAATCCTTCTTGTCCACCAAGAACTGAAAATGAAGGTGACTGACGATAGTGCTGGTATGGTTGAATGATGATGAATAATTTGCAGTATTGTTAATTTCTCAATACTAGCACCAATTACATACCTCCTCCTACTAGGATTCTTGGATTGCAACAACAGGGTGTACGTGATGTTAAACACAGTACTTCTRGCACGAGGATCTGGCCGTCGCCGGGGATAGCTTTTTCAGGTCTCAAAACAAAATCGACACCAATAAAAATCTCAGTTTTCGGTTTTTCTCTCTTGGTCTCGTCAATCCCTCGTCTATGTAGTCCCTCGTCTAGTTGGCTYWGAGTTCGTTCAAACTTTTCTTTTTGTTGACTTCGGAACATTCATCCTCTCAATATCTAAGATTTTAGCTCTTGAGAACTGTTTCATAACAATATCCGAGGCAACAAAACACAACCCACAATAAAAGCAGACAATGAAAATTTTTGCCAAAAGAACCAAGAAAAAATCCGAGGCATCGTCGTCGGCACCGAGAACGGTGAACAAATCTGACCCGGTGGTCGAAGAGCTTCTAAAAAAAGACGAAAGCGAATGGAATGCAAAAGAGAGACGAATGGTCAAGCGATATCGCGACAGAAAGGCTGCGGAACAATCTATCAGCAAGGAAGACCACATGGATGAACGAGGCAAAAGCGCAACGTCAGTTGCGACACCACTCTCGGTGGAGAACGAGAAATTAACAGAAAAGAAAGACGCACACAAAGAAGAGGAATTGAAAGAAAATGCTGCCGACGACAAACCACAGGAGAGTGATAGCGACTGCAGCAGCTCATCGAGCAGCAGCGACGACGAAAACGAGGATCCATCGGAAGAAAAAACCAACGGCAAGGATGATAGTGATGATGGTGCATCGAGTAGTGACGACTCGGACTCCGAGGACTCTGCTAAACAGGAAGCCGAGGAAGAATCGAAGGCAGTCCCAACTGAACCAGAGAAAAAAGAAATTTCGACTTCTCCCTCTACAGCAGAAGACAATGACGACGGCGAAGATGACGGTGGAAAGGTCCCAAAGGATCACGAGATATGGAGCGTTTTGGATAAGCTAAACTCGAAACAGAAACGAACGCTATCTCGAAAGCTTGATCGTTTGGGAAAAGCAGTGCTGGAAGAGGTAGAGCAAGAAGCCAACAAAATTCTTGACGAGACCATGCCAATAAAGATTGAGGCTTTGAATCCGAAACGCAATCAAACGGAAGCAGCTGCTACGGACACGAATAAAGCGGGAGAACCCGCCAAGAAGAAACGAAAGAAGGCGGCCGATTGGAGTCATCTGCCGGTAGAGGAGCGACTCCGGCGCGAGGAGCAGCGCAAAAAGCAGCAGGAGGCAGCCGATAGAAGGGCTCGTGGAGAAGCTATCACACCGGGCCACAAGCGTCCACTGAATTCGGCTCGCCGGCGTGCCAATCGCAGAAAGCCGAAATGGGCGAGCAAAGCATCTCCCGCTAGGGGAGCACCGGACATTTCGGATTACAAGCGAGATCATCACAGTTCGGGATTTCACCATCGCAAAAATCGCGGGGCTCGGGCAGAGTAAGGAAAGAAATGAAACCACGAAACAGCAGAATATCAGAAATAGAGTACAATGCCCTTCGATTGATTTGTTTAGGAGGATGTAATGCATCCTGGTGACGTTGACTCCTCCAAGGCATTCAAAATACCATCGTAGATGCTTGTCAGTCCTAGCATACTAAACCAGTTGGAAACACCATGACCTGTTTGTGCATAGCTTTGGACTGGGGAGCTCATCGATTTTCTTCAGAACAAGGTGCGTGCCCTTTCGTAATATTTTATCTTTGCCGCACCCATACTGTTGTCTTTCAACGCAGTGGTCAATGAGGATTCAGTTTTAAAACGTCTTAATTAAACCTGTGGAAAAGTCCATACTGTTGCCTTCCTTCCGAGATCAAAAAGAAAGCTTCAAAAAAATTGAATGCTTTTGTGGAAAGCACGTAACCTTTCCAATTTATGTGAAGGCAATAATTTCTAACTCGGTGACACCTTTTTTCTTCTTTTTCGCCCTTCATGTACTTTATTAGTAGACCAATCACTCGACTGATTTCGACACATTGCATCCATGCTCACAAGGTATTGATATGACGTAGGAGACATATTGTGGACGAAAGCACTGTGCAATGTTTATCGAATAAAATTATGACTAAATAGCTCAAATAGTAATTCTGGAAATTTTGGTGATAAATCAGTATTATCTCTTCTTAGACTCAAGCTCTTTTTCCCACTGAGAAAAAACAACTTGGAATAGTTCCATAGTAGCTTTCGCATCCTGAACAGAGTCGTGCTCTCCTTCTTGAAAGTTCTCTTTCCCTTTCAGATTCTCTTTGACCAAATCTCTCAACTTTCTTGCCCGCCACTTGGCGTTACCGTATCGTTGAAAGGGTCGATACTTTGCTGTATCTCGAATCATATCCTTTGGATGACTGGTCATTAGCGCTTTGAAATCATTAGTCAATGCGTGACCCACTAAAATCTTGCCCTTCAATATTTTTGCTACCTTGTCCCGGCATTCTTTGACAGGCATAGCATTATTTTGACTCTTGATGTGCTTTGCTTCCACTCCACTGACATGAGTACGAAAATCTGTCACGCGCACTGGTACCTGGACATATGTATCAAGGATKACTTCCAGATTCCAATCGACGATCGAMACTCGTGCCAGGGCAGACTTTTTACCGTCGGTTCCAATACCCACCATCTCACAATCCAGAGCTACGTATTTTTCCCGAACAACTTCGGGAATTGCATTAAGCTTTTCTTGGAGTTTCGACTCTTCTTTCTGTATCTCTTCGAGCTGGTGTTTTTGTTTGAGTAGATCTTTGATGGAAGGAAATTGGTTCTGCTTCTTCTTTTTCTTGGAAGGTTGCACTATTGACGGCATGTCTTCCTGTGTAACAAAGTCGATATCATCATAATCGTCTTCGTTATAGTTGATTTGTTTCGATTGTCGAATTTCGCGCCTGGCATCCTTCCGAAACTTCTTCGCAGCTTTCGCCGACATATCCGACGGAAGTAGGACATAAAGAGTCCGTGCAATTTTTCTGGTCGTCAACTCGATGGGTCTCTTTTTCTTTCCGTCTGAATCGACCGAAGTAGCTATTTCCGTCACTACATCACCGTCATCATCYACACGTTGTCTTTTCTTGTTTGTCGATTTCGCGACATTTTCCACATGGCTCCCTTCGTTGTTAACAATCAAAGAAATCTGGTCGACACGATCATTAGGCGAAGTACAGTCGTTATTTGAAGAYTGGTTCTTTTCTTGCGAATGCAATTTCTTTTTCTTTCGGCGTTCTCTCATCTGTGCCTTTTGCTTCTTACTAAAGAAAACTTTCCCCATTTTAACAGTTGTATTGTATCAATAAATTGGAACTAAAATGAAAGAGATCGGGTCAATGAAGGCTGACAAGGATGTCTTGATTCCTTAACAGTATCAAGTACGAGTAGCTTGTGAAGTGAAAATTGAAAATTGTCTCCTACTGTAAAATGTTTCCGGAAGAGAAATAGAATACGGCACGATACTGTACCGTACTAACGCTTGAACGCAAGAGCGGCGGACGAAAGATGATTTCTGAAGATTGGTGGCGGTAACGATCATCTTTCTCATTGGCGCGCGTCTCAATTTTTGCGCACGATATTTTAGTCTGCTTTATAATTGAAGAGCTAAAACAGGCTCATATTTGAATATTCAAAAAAGCACCGGCCGCACCGCACCGTGAGTTCACATCTCAATCCCACTATTGTACGAAGTTACGTACTGTGATAACGCTCTCTCTGCACTTCGACCAGTACCAGGTAGCAAACAATAAGTTGACCAGGAAAGCATTAGACTAGTGTATGCACAACAAGGCAACAAAGACAAGCTATCTTTACTCACAGATCAATACTAGAATCCTACTGCTTCGACTCGATGTCTTATACCACTCCTTCGAAAAAGCGAGGCGGTGTCGAGACCGTCTCACACACTCATTTTATTTTTCCTGTCCTGAAAAACGCAGAAATTCTCCAATGCCTGGACGAGCTGGGAATAGAGGTGTGCAAGACTGAACTTGCCGAGCCACAACGCCACAGAGAGAAGGTTCGMAAGATATTCTGGCAACTCCTTGAACATTGCTGYGGGATCACCGAAGATGACATCGATAAGCTATGCCCAAAGAATCTCGATCAATACGTTCCTCCTGCAGAAGCTGAGCTTCACGATAATTTCGTCGACATGCTGTTCTTTAAGAAAATGCGCAAAATGATGGAAACATGTGGGATTGTTGATTTCTCTTGGAAGGATATCCATGTCCCGACATCGAAACGTCTTCGCTGTCAACTTTCTGCAGTTATAAATATGGCTAAGTTTCGCGAAGAGCAACTCAAAATTTACGCCGAATTGAATGAGCCTCGCCATCAGCTCTTAGTAACACTTGAAGAACTTCACGCAGAGAACGTCCAGCTCCAAGAACAATTAAATATTGTATTGGCTGAATCAAGTCAGCAGATGGATGAATTTGACATGGTAGCGAAGGAATGTCAAGAGTTAGAATCGGAAATAGCCAGCAGTAACAAGCTTCAAGCTAGTAAGAGAGAAGAAGCATCAAAATTGAAGATAGAAATGACGAGATTGAAGGATGAACTAGCAGCAGCAACGTGGTCTCTTCAAGAGTCGCAAGCTGAAGAAGAACGATTGCTAGGCCAAGTTGTATCCTCGCCTACTCGCCGCAAAARAGAATTGGATACRAAAAAGGACGCATTGGAAAAGGAAAAAGCGGAAACACGGCGATTACAACAGGAGATTACTGACGGGAAGACAAAGATAGCTGCTTTACAGCAAGCCACTAAGGACCTTCAGGAAACTATAGCGTTGCAACGTAACATTTTGGAGGAGTCATCGAAATACGAAGAAGCCGCAGGTAAGCTCGAGGATGCTGAGAAGGAAGTCGAGGCGAATCAAGAAAAAGCGTCAGAATTAGAAGAAAAGACACAAGACTCAGAGCGAAGCCTCGCCCGAATGGAAGAAAAAGTGGTACACATGCACAGACAATCAAAAATGAAACTAGATGCAGCTCAAGACAACATAGAGATCGCAAAGGAACAATTACTCATTGTAGAACGAGATCGTCGTGAAGGCTTAGCACGAGTAGAAGCTGGAGAAGCAGAAGTTCGGTCTATCAAGGCACAGATGGAATCAGAGCAGAAAAAGACAGAAGAAGAGATCGCCGCCATTGTGGAAGAATACAAGACTCTCGAAAAGTCGTTCCTCAAACGCAATGAACAAAGAATRWTATTGATCGATTCGGCAATGTAAGAACTCCAACTATATCAAACGGGGAAACTTATGGTACGAAGCAAAATGTGGTTGTTTCGAAATGTTGTAATAATGCAGTGCACATTTACAACATGCTTATTGCGAAAAGGGAGAAGAACATTACAAACGACCGGTATCAGCACTTCCGAATACCTTGGTTACGTTTATCCTAATCTACACAAATTGTACATTATGGATATGGCACACGTTTAGTAATTTCATCACATCATTATATTATTTTCAAACACTTAGATTACTTGCTCAATTKACCATCAATATTCGAAAACAAAAACGGCAGGCAATTCGTTAATCCTTGCTKATTCTCTAGTTCTCTTTTGGTGCTTACAATCATAAAAGCAATTTTATTTCAAATCTCTGACAAACACATTCCATCCTGAGGATTCTGCTGGTTTGGAGTGATTCTCAYACTAGTACGTAGCTCCTCCTACTCATTCATTTATGAGGAAAAATAAGTCAACAAGCTTTTTATCAAGTGCATGATTGAGACATCCTCAGTTGACTGGTAGCATGCAAACTACTACTATTTCTACTAGTACTACTAGTAGCTAGTCTATTACTACTATGAGTATGATACCACATTGGCCAGCATGRCTGGTGAGGAGAACAAAACAGCAAGAAGAAAGACAATCAAAATACTGCTAGTAGTGGTACTACTATTAGTACTAGTAGTATTATAATTGTAGGAGTACCACTACTACTAGTAGTAAACATACTGAGTACCAGTACTAGTAGTACCATCATACCTTCTTACTACATCATACTCCTAACTGATATTTATGAGCAATGATATTATGGTGTGAAGTTTTTCCTGCATGCACAAAACTAAAATTGCATGCACACTTTGCACTGCTCAAAGAACTCAAAACTCATGGCACTTATCTGGTGTGGAACATGTTCTCACACCACACATTTCTCAGCATGGGTTTGACACACATTCTTGCAATTGCTACTATTTTTCTTTTTTTCATCATTAGATCTGTTCAACACCGTTGTTATCTTTTCTTTCCATCATCAGTTGTTCTCTTTGTAATGACAAGATAACTTGGTGTCACAAACAAACAAGAAGTCAAGTGTCTCAAGTAGTACACAGAAAGTATCCAACAAAATAAAACTTATTCTGGTATGCCAGACAACACATTCCTTTTCTAACATTATTCCACCACAGATAAATACTAATCTCATCTCCTCCTGTTCCATCAATTTTTGTAGTTGTTGCTCTATATGATTTCTTGCTCGGCTGTTGTCAATTCTTTTCCAATCAGAAACAACCCTATCAAATTCCAGAGTAAACTCATGATACTGAATTTTCTCCTCCTGTGGTGTCTGTTGTTTCTCCTGCTGCTAATTTAATTATGATATTGTAAAAATTTACTACTACTACTACTAGTACTAGTAGCTACTAGTTGTAGTAGTATTACTGTTACTGTTACTATTACTATTACTATTACTATTACTATTACTAGTACTACTACTATTACTATTACTATTACTATTACTAGTAGTATGATAGTACTACTAGTACTGCTGCTGCCATGCCCACCACCACCAACAAGAAAGTCTAAGCGTCTTCAAAGATATTGCTAGTACTATTTTGGTCACTGCTGCTATACTCTATTATGTTTGCTTGTTCTTTGACTGCTACTACTGCTGATTGCTAGGAACAAAATAAAGAACATTCATGTTTGTGCTAGTAGTACTAGTGCAACGGATGCGTACGTACTGTACCGGAAAGTATACGTACGTACTAAGAAGGAAGTATACGTACATACGATGCTCCCTCGGAATGGAAGA